GTGTTAATTGTGAACAATCCAGCTTTGGAAACTATATCGATGTTGGCCCATTATGACCTGAGGCAGGGGGAGAGGTTATATTTCTGAAAAAAAAGGGAAGGAATTCCTATAAAGGCAAACATTCTCATTCTCACTCGTCTTATATAAAGATAGACCCCAAGACAGGAAATGGAGACTCTGAGCCAAGGGAAAGAATTTTTTCTCCCCTGGATTCTACAGAGTAGAAATTAATTTAGGAGGAATTGCAGCCAAACAAGGAAGGACACCATGGACATGGGTCTACACAGGTTTTCACATCTAGTAGCCCTCTGGGGTCAGCATGGTGGTACCAGGACCAGCATGGTGGTACCAGCGCCAGCCTGAAAACTGGTGGGATCCCAGAACTGTAGAACATAATCTGCAAATTTTGGAAATTTCATTTGCAAATCCCACAGTGAATAGACATTAATATTTACTTAGAACAAAAACCTGTTATGGACTCTTTGCATGCAACATCACTTCTATGCAAGAATGGTTACAGAAACCCATAGTCTTGCACTGAGCATTTTGAGCCAACTAGACTACCAAAAAAAAAAAATTGCAACCAATTGGAACAGCTCCCATTCTAGGCTGGGCAGACCAGCAGGGGAGTTTGTTTCCACCAGCTCTTGATACCTTATCACTAAACTGTAATAATGGGTGATGAAGCATGTGGAAGCAACATTTCACTTGAAAAAGGGTATTACTTATGTTTTCAACTAACAATGTAAGATCTTACCCATGAAAAAAACACCTATGAGAGAGAGAACATGACAAAACTGAATTTTTGAATCAGGTTTAAGCAAAACTTACAAAAGCAGATTATTTTCCTCTAGGTCAGAGATTGGCAAACATTTTCTGTAAAGGGCCAGATAGTAAATATATTAGACTTACGGACCATGTAGTCTATGTTGCAACTACTCAACTCTGCAAACAAGTTTAGAAAAGTAATTCTGAGAGTTTTCAGCTAATCTGGGGTAACTTCTAAAACAATAAAGAGGAAAAAAATAATCACACTCAAAATTTCAAGTAAAAGTCTTTTATTGAAATTACTTCTAACATACTTGGCATCAGTATTAACATGTAATACCACTATTACTACTACTACTACTAGCTAACATTTATATAGGACTCACACTATAAGATTAAATTTTTAGCAAATAAAGCATATCCGCCGTATTTTTAATATAATTCCTTGCAGACCCATTTACTCACTCCAGTTAGGAAATATGCAATATGAAATGGAGTTTCAATTTTTAAGAGAAAGAGCTAAGCAGGAAGAGAGAGAGAGAGAGAGAGAGAGAGAAAGAGAGAGAGAGTAATAATTAGGAAGAGGAAGGCATGATGACAATATACCTCTTTGAAATAGATCATTTAAAGAGCTGTTTTCTGGCAAAATCATATCCTACTGTCGTCAATAATGGAACAATAAAGATGGGAAGAATTAACCAAAAACAAAACAAGAACCAAAGAATGAGGGAGGCCAGTCCTAAAATAAGATTACCAAGAATATATTATTAGATGACTTATTTGAGCTTGAAAACTGGCCATCCTTATGAAATGAAAAACCATCCTTGTACCCATTGTGTCTATCCACTGACAGCAACATGATGACGTTTCCATAGAAACAGCATTCTGCTCATCTAACATCCCACCTTTTTCAAAGAGCAGTCAGTAAATCGTCAATGTTTGTTTTAACAGAGAATTTACTGGTAATAAAGGGAGTTACAGCAGAAATCTGTCCTCAGCATAGTTTACTAGTGAAAATGAGACAAATATAAATGAAATAAAAAGATATATACTATTTCTTCCTTTTTCAAGAATATAACAAAACAAGTGGAACAATGGAATAGAGAATTATGCAAGTGAACTGTTCCTGAAGATAACTTCTGTACACAGTGGAATCAAATATTCCCAATCTTTGTGTCTTTTTACCTAGTAAAAATACAATAAGTGATCCCCAGGGAAGACAGGTATTGGCATTGACACACGAATATTAAAAACAGATTTTCCAGATTAGGGTAGCCATATTTCAGTGCAAATTACTCTAGAACACTCCCACCCCTGTAATGTCTTTAGAGGAATGGTACTGGAGAGTGATTTTGCTGCTTGTGGAGATATTTTTTTCTCAGTCATTTTTTATAAGTTTTGAGTTATATTTTACATACTATACAATTCACTCACTGTAAGTGCACACAATTCAATGATTCTTAATATATTTACAGAATTGTGTAACTATCATCAGAGGTATAGTTTTGAGTGATCAGCAAATCACTGCAAAACTGGGTCTTCTGATTTCAACATTAACAGTGATTACCTCTTTGAATTTCTCTCTTTTCTATTTTTCCCCCCAAGTAATTATTTCCAGGGTACAGTATAGTGCTACCACTAGCATATGCTTATGGTAATGGACTGAAAGCATTTCAAGAGTTTCTTTTTGAGGAAGTCACTTTTCATAAACATCAACAGTGTTGAAAACAAAGCAGCTTCTGAGAATTAAGCTGGTAAAATCCATACTTAATAAATTAGCTAATTGTGGGAGCAATCCATATAGCTGCCTGTGGATGTATAACTGAGGAGCTGAGAAACACTCTAAGCCCCTAATTAAGATGAGGATGTAATCTCAGGAGGCAAAACTACTAGTGGTTGTAATTCAGTCGGCAGAAATCTCAATTACCTAGCACACTGTTGAGAGAAAGTCTGCATGAAGATTAGTCTATAGAAGGAATTGCTAGTCTTTACCCAGCTCTGTCCAGGAACAGAGACACAAAATCCAGAGGGTATGAACTTTCCTGTCATTGAAGAGGTAAACTCTGTGTGGAGCAGGGATCATTTATCAGGTCTCACTGCCATCTGAATGAAATCTCTCTCAAAATGACTCACCTCATTTTGTTTTGCGTTCTCATTTGCTAAGCAACGGCCTGATTTGTTTTCCAGACCTGCCAAAACAGTTATCTTGGCTTGTACAATTTGAGCATACTAGTTATCAGAAATGAATCTGCCCCACCACCCAACAAATGAACAAATGGTTTGATTTATTTGCTTTCTTGTGGACTAAAATATGTTAATCACCTCTGGTACACTGATAATATCAAGATCACACCCTTAACTGTAATAATCACTAAGCCAATGTCATCCTGGGAGACCTTGATAAACAGCCGTCCAGATTTTTCCTGCTACATCCTGACCTCATCACGGACCCCAAAACCCATAATTTGGTTCTATTCAAATACAATAAAAGAGGCCAATAGAGAAACAAGAATGTCCTATTCATTCATGTTAAAGTCTATCTTGTGGTCTTCTTAACTGAACAAAATAAAAAATGATTGCATTAAATCAAACAGACAAGAACAAATCAAAGCAAATTCACGGTTTTCTTATTTTTCTGGAATTAAAATGTCTTGAAATTAATCGCATCTACGTTTAAATTACTTCAGTTATCATTGACTTAATACATATCAACAGAAGATGAACATGAATAATTCTAAATTGATGAATAAAAGAACAGAAAGAAAATGTGCTTGGTAAATATTGAATGAAAATAATCAATACATGAGATGCCTGCAATTAAAGAAAAAAAAAATTTCCTCATCTCTTCTGCTACTAACCAAATAGGACAGTGCTAGAAACTGAATAAATTTGTTAATAAATAGTGTCCTTTTTGGTCAGCTTCTCCTTTTAAAAATTATCAGGTTGTTGTCTTTTTAATTAAAGTCTTGGTTTCAAAAAATATTGAAGGATGGTCAAAGGAGAAACAATCTGTCCTTCCTTCTAAAGTTTTAGGAGGTTCTTTTCCCTTTTGGGATCTACAGACTCCTTTAAGAATCTGATTAAAATTTCAGACCCTCTTTGCAGAAAAAAGTACATGCACATACACACATAATTTTGGAAACCATCACAGACAGTTCAAGGACTACCAAACATTTGTAAAATACATCCAATCAATTTTTAGAGCTAAGAAATAATGCCCATCTCCTAAACGATCTATTTTTTCAATCTCAAAGGCACTTTGGATTTAGAATACACTTGTGTTCCTGTCTTTACTGTGACTTCTGGGATGACCAGAGTCAAATTTGCATTCCATCTCTAGGAACTCACCAGGCTATTACTTGCAGGCATTTTGTGTACTAACCTTATCCATGATTTCATCTTAACCCTCCCTCCTTATTTTCCCATTCTCCCTGATTTCATCCAATTTTAATAATGTTTATATGGTATCTCTGCAAACTGCCTCACATCCCTGGGGAGAGGGATTGTTACAAACGTATAATATGAAGCAAATCATCCTTAAAGTCAGGGTGCAGATCTATTTTAGCCTAGTTATGACTGCAGGGTTTTTTAAAAATTTTGAATTCATTACTAATATCTTAAAATCCCAACATTTCACATAAAAATTCAGATTTTAAATATCTCTGGGGAAAAAGTGTAAAAAGTTCTTATCTCCCTGGAACAGCATGGAAGTAGGATCAGTCCTGAGCAGCAACTGTAGTCCCCAGTGGTCACAATTCTCACATATCCATTTTGCTCATTACTCGACCCGGTAATGAGTTCAAAAAAAGGAACGAACTTCAGGATTCTATAAACACAAACACACACACTTTTTCTCGTTTTTTGAACGGGGTTGGAGAAATAACAGGCACAATTCATTCTGTAAACCTTCAGTGGATCTCTCCTTTGTGCTAGGCCTATCAGGCGATTAAAGAGGAGCAGAGGTCGAGTCCTGGTTGGCAGGTACCACCAGTGACTATCAGGGCACGAATCACCGCCACTAGGAGTGTTGAATGGAGCTATACAAAGTTAAGTTTTAAACCAAAGACGGAACGGTACTGAGCGTAGAATATTTACTAAGGAATCGAAGTTGGTTCCCTAACTTAGACACTTGTCTAAGCAAGTCACGGCTTGTTCGAAAAAAAGGCAGGAAGACAAAATCGCGCCTAGATTCTTTGACTAGGCGCACTTTCCGAGTGCCCCGTTTCCAGAGCAACTGCCTGGTCCCTCCCCCTTTGACTCCGCCCCCGGGAGTCTTTTCCCGCCAAAGGCCGTTGGCACCGCAGAGCATGGTGGGACAGGCTCTAGGCTAGGTTTCACCAAATCCTTTCAAGGCACCGAGTTACTTTCAGAGGCTCGTTCTTGAGGAAATTGACTACCTCTTAAGACTCGACAGGCATTAATAACCCCTGCAACGAGGGCTCTGTATCTTTTTATGAAACGGCTCATCACTCCATTAGCAAACGGCTCCACAAATCGGCAACGCGGGGAACTTTTTTTCCCCTTTGCGCGGAGGGTGACGTCGCGCGTGCGTAAACGTATTTTCGCAATACCCGTTACGCTCGTGCGCATGCGTGCTGAGATCAAATAGCTGCTTCCTCCCGCTTCTCTTCCTCCCTCCCCCCATATCCGTGCGCCGAGCTGATAAAGGCGCCATTTTGGAGGGGCCGCGGGAGACGTGGTGTCGCTGCGGGTTCGCTCTGCCGTGCGCTAGGCTTGGTGGGAAGGCCTGTTCTCGAGTCCGCGCTTTTCGTCGCCGCCATGTCGGGAGGTGGTGTGATTCGTGGCCCAGCAGGGAACAACGACTGCCGCATCTACGTGGGTAACTTACCTCCAGATATCCGAACCAAGGACATTGAGGACGTGTTCTACAAGTACGGTGCTATCCGCGACATCGATCTCAAGAATCGCCGCGGAGGGCCGCCCTTCGCCTTCGTTGAGTTCGAGGACCCGCGGTGAGGCGGACTGGGCCAGGCGGCCTTGTGGAAATAGGTCGGAGTAGGTGGGGAAAGCTCCAGGGCCGGAGTGGGTGGGGAAAGCTCCAAGGCCTCAATGTAGAGCACGGGGAGGTGGGTTTTTAGGTTGGGGGCAAGACGATACCGCCCAGGCAGGAGTCGAGTAAGTAACCGAGTTGGTGTGGCTTTTCTGGTGGCTGGGCCCCATGGACCTTCTCAGACCCCCTCAGTCTCGTAGCGGGAAACTGAGGCGTTGAGGGCCGGTGTAGTTAGTGGTCGGGAGCCTGGCGTGCTTGTGGGTGGGGGAGGGGCCTTTCCTATTATGCGGCGCATGTGGGCTCTTCCACGCCGGGTGCGCATGTGCGGGGGGTGCTAGTTCCCGGCTGAGTTAGCCGCCTTTCCAGGGCTTTTCCCTTACCCCCTTTTTGCTTTCTGTGGTCACACAGAGACGCGGAAGACGCGGTGTATGGTCGCGACGGCTATGATTACGATGGATACCGTCTGCGGGTGGAGTTTCCTCGAAGCGGCCGCGGTACAGGCCGAGGCGGCGGCGGGGGTGGAGGCGGCGGGGCTCCCCGAGGCCGCTATGGCCCCCCATCCAGGCGATCCGAAAACAGAGTGGTTGTCTCTGGTGAGTTTACCGTTAATGTGGGTTGATGAGAAGGGACAGAAACTACTTAACATTTTCCTTGCGTGACCAGTTTGACAAATGGAAGTTTTTATGTTAAGTCTTAAATTACTCTAGTTTCTTGTGTGAATTTAGGAAACAAGGGTTACAGCAATGGAGATTTATCAAATCAGGTTGCGGTACTTAGAATGTGAAGATCCTTACTTTACAAATAATTTTGGAGTCCGGATTCCAAAATCTTAGCTATTTGCCTAGGATCTTAAGTATAATCATTATTAATTTTAAAGTAGCCTTTGTTTTAATGTAATTTAAATTTAATGAGAAATTTAGGATAATTGGTATTGGAAAAAAAAACACTTTTTCAGGACTGCCTCCAAGTGGAAGCTGGCAGGATTTGAAGGATCACATGCGTGAAGCAGGTGATGTATGTTATGCTGATGTTTACCGAGATGGCACTGGTGTCGTGGAGTTTGTACGGAAAGAAGATATGACCTATGCAGTTCGAAAACTGGATAACACTAAGTTTAGATCTCATGAGGTAGGTTATACACTTATTTTTTTCTTTGGCCAGAATTGGATACAATGGTCTTAACAGTGGATGGAATTTGAAGGTAAGATTTCAGGCAAGGGTGCCCAAGTAAATGCCAGATTTCTGGTTTTAGCTGCATTGTATTCATTCAGCATGCCTGAAGAGAGATAAAAGCTTAGATTTTTCAATCGAAAGTTCTGTCTATTCAATAGGGAGAAACTGCCTACATCCGGGTTAAAGTTGATGGGCCCAGAAGTCCAAGTTATGGAAGATCTCGCTCTCGAAGCCGTAGTCGTAGCAGAAGCCGTAGCAGAAGCAACAGCAGGAGTCGCAGTTACTCCCCAAGGAGAAGCAGAGGATCACCACGCTATTCTCCCCGTCATAGCAGATCTCGCTCTCGCACATAAGATGATTGGTGACACTTTTTGTAGAACCCATGTTGTATACAGTTTTCCTTTACTCAGTACAATCTTTTCATTTTTTAATTCAAACTGTTTTGTTCAGAATGGGTTAAAGTGTTGAATCACATTCTTGTGTAATATCCCTTTGCTCCTAACATCTACATTCCCCTCATGTCTGGTAAATTGTATTTTAAGTGATGTCATAGACAGGATTGTTTAAATTTAGTTAACTCTCCATGCTCTTCAGACTGTGATATTGTGTAAATGTCTATTCTGCTCTGGTTTGTGTGAACTGGGATATTGGGGGTGTTTGTGGTTCTTACCTGGGGAAGTTCTTATGTTTATCTTGCTTTTCATGTGTCTTTCTGTAGACATATCTGAAGAGATGGATTAAGAATGCTTTGGATTAAGGATTGTGGAGCACATTTCAATCATTTTAGGATTGTCAAAAGGAGGATTGAGGAGGATCAGATCAATAATGGAGGCAATGGTATGACTCCAAGTGCTATTGTCACAGATGAAATTGGCAGTATTGACCTTATACTAAAAGGCAAGGGTTAAAAATGATTATATGCATTTACCTTAAAACACTTGCAAACATCTTATGCAGTTATATTTAACTACAATTGCTTTGCCTATTAAACCTTGGCAATTGTGGCAAAATTACATTGCCCATTTTGTAACTATTTTGCTCCCTTCCCCCCTTTTTTTGTTTTAATAGGGACTAATGTGGGAAGAACTGGCAAATTTGTCACAGTGCTTAGTTACAACTGTTAATGTGTGACCTGCTGTTGGTGTACATGTGGGTACAGGGTGTCTTTTAATTCCAACCAGATAGAGTATAATATCAATACTGCTAAATCTGCATGTCCTCTGTGTGACTGATATAGCGTTGCTATTTCATTTTTTAAAGACAAAATGAAAGCAAATTACAGAATTCCAATATATTGGTGTAGATAATCTAGTTGGGAATACTTTTTAAGTCTCACCTTCCCCTTTAAACTAATACTCATAATTGACTCATGTTTAAAACACTTTAATTTACAAATTAAACTGCAGAATGGGAGCATTAGATTTAGTTTAGACTTAGGTGGGTAGCAATACCAGTAAACTTTTCAACTACATAACTTTTTGCAACCACAAAACCTGTAATACGCTGTACAGTAACAAGTGTTGGCATTATCAGTTGAACTGTAAATATGAAATGCTTCTTCCAATTAGTCTCTATGATGATTAAGTTTCTAAAATTTATCTGAACACCATTCAGAAACTTGTTTTGGGGAATTTGATAGTTATTGATGTACATCTATTAAACTGATGACAGACATAACTCATCATTCCCCAGAAACCTTTTTTGATTACAGTATCTAACATTTTGCCTCCTCTTTTTTGGTTTTGCTGGTTATAAAGGTTTGGATTGGAGAGGGCTCACTGGATCCCAATCCTTGGAGCTGGATCATTGGATTCAAATCATAATGTGGATAGGATAGGGAGGATGAATTACAAGGATTCATGGAGCGGGATCAGATTACCAGGAACATAGGAGTGGATTCCTGCCCCAACCAAACCGCATTCGTGTGGATTTTTTTTTTTTTATTCAACTTAATTGGCTATTCCAAAGATTTTTTTTTTTCCTATTTTTGACGATTGGAGCCCTTAAGATGCACGATGGAATTGTATTTTGCATTTTTTGGTAAAAGGAGCAAAGCGAGGACCTGGAGATATACGCTGGAGCAATCTCCTTGGAAGGATTCAGCACGAGTAGATGGTAAACATTTAAAGGGGAAAGGGGGGGTTTGTTTAAAATAGTAAATCAGTAAGTCATTTCTAAATTTAAAGAAAACAAAATTGGAGTTGAAGAATAAGTAGGTTTCCAATTGGCTGTTGCCATTTTTCTTTGAAAATAAACATTTTTTTAAAAACTATGCATGGTTGTCCTTTTTCCTCTTAAGAATTTAACTGGGTGACTATCAGGTATACTTTACATTGATAAGATTCTGATTCTTGCGTTCATGTGTTAGTAAATTCAAGGTTCTTGAAAGGTAATCTCTAATGGTATTTACTAACCAGCTGTTAATTGTACAAGTATTCATGGGAAGATAAGAAAAGATGAGAAAAGCAATTATATGTAATATGGCAAATGAGAGGTGATCTGAAAGATAAGCTTCCCATACTTTGATAAAAAATGATTAAAAGTTTATAGATGCTGCTTATTTTTGGTGGTCATCTGGACAACAGGCTTTTATGCAAAATTGAGTGATGACTATTAAATGTTAACTTGGAGTTAGTCTCTGAGATTCTCAATGGAACTCATCTAAAAAAATTGGTAGGTATTAAATGTTTAAATTGACATTAGAACTCAACACATTATGTTTTCGTTTTTGGAGTGTGAATAGCACACTAAGATTACTTATTTGAGCGGATCATTGCTAATAAAGAGCTGGGCATTCCTTAGAATTTGCCTTGTTAACCCTTCTCAACAATAAGGCTATTTATTCTGTGTCTAAAACACACTAAAGCAGTGATTATATAATAGCTTGTGGTTTACTAGTTTTTGTATATTTTTATTTGACAGCCCCATGGTTTTAAATTTTAGTATGCTTGAATTGGAGGAAATTTTTACCTAAAATCCCTAATCATCGGATTTCTTGATAGCTAGTCACAACTATCAAATCACTTTTTTGCACCCAAGAGAAACAACTAAATCTTAACGTTTCCCCTGGGTGCTGATCATCTTTTGGAAGCTGAATTTAAGATAGCTATTAGGGTGACATAATTTCAAACCTAGGAAAAACTAAAAATCTTGGTAGCGGAGGGAATGGGCCCCAGTATTTGCGTAAGGTCACCCAATGAATATATTTAAAAACTGAGGAGGAGGGATATTCAAAACTAGGATTCCACTTCTAAGTATTCAAAGTAATTGGTATAGATTCATTAAGGAAGTTTTTATGTAAATTCAAAATATGTACAAGAAGCAGGTTTACTAGTTAAAACTGAATTAAGTTCTGTTTCCCATTCAATACTAACTAGGTCTGATCCTGCTTAGCTTCCAAGATCAGATGAGGTCGGTTGCTTTTAGGATGGGATGGTATGACTGTGGACAAGTTCTGTTTCATGTGTAGAATGTTTTTCAAATGACTAATTTTGGAAAGTTAAATGTGAGGTTGATTTCAGCAAGCTTGGGTTTATTTGTGTTTATTGAACATTTTGGAAACAGAACCAAAATGATAATTGCCTTCCCTGAAGGTTGAGTACCTTTAAGCTAATTTGAAAGACGTGCTCTAAGTTTTAATACCTCAGATTGAAATGAGATTGAAAACATTCTTTGGTATATCGGCTGTTTGAAGATTAGAGAGGACTTAATGCGTGTTTGTGAAAGGTAGAGGGGCACAGGTTTTGCAGTTAAAATCAAGACGGCTAAAAGTTGGGGAGATGCAAGTCTATTGGCTCTTTTTTTCAGTCGTAGATGGAGCTTAAACTTCTACCTGTATTGGCAACACTTAGAAGTCACCCTTTTGGAACTAAAAAGGCTGGGTTGAATTTTTTCCTTGTTCTCCCAATTTGTGTAGGGAGCCTGTAGTTTACTTTTTAACCAAGGGAAAACTTTTAAGTCCAAGAAGCACTTATTTTCATAACATCAGATTGAGTAACCCATCTTGCTGTTCAGCCCACATTCTGGAAACAAAAGGTAAGAAACCCATTTTCTGATTCCTAATTGTTTGGGATCTGAGTTTTATTTTAAAAATGTTTAGTGATTTTCTTAAAATACTGTTTGGAATATGAACATATTTTCCTTGTTTAAAATGTTTTTTCCTAAATGTTATATATACTTTAATAATAAATTTCAAGTGCATATAGCCACTCAACTGTTTAAGTTTAATATGATTCTGGAATATCAGTTTTCTTAGTTTTGTCTTTGAAACATCTTGCTCAGTAGAACTGGTGTTTTGTCAAGTTTCTGTGAAGATAAATTTATGTGCCTTTTTGCTTTGTATATGAAGTTGTAATGAAATTATATGTATTTACCAGAAATAGTATAAAAAGAAAAACTTGAGGTTCTGTTGTAACATAACCATCCTTTGGTTTAACTTGATTCTATTATGGCATGAAGAATGCAAAGAAAACTTGGTTCACAATCTCTTATCCAAAAAACTCAGAAAACAAAGGTTTTGTTGAATTAATTGAATGTAAAACCTGACCAGAATTGATGCTTTCATTTTGCAACATAACTGACTAAACTGTCTTCCCGCAGAAATATTGATGTGTTCCATTACACAGTTGCCACAGGCATTGCTGAGTGTTGTATTTTATATAGGGCCTATATACCTTTTTAAAGTGCACACAGCTCTGAATTTCAGATACATCTGCCCCCAAGAGTTTCGAATAAGGGATTGTAGAACTGTAATAAAATACGCAGGGCTCAAGCTTCTGTGTAATTTTGGATGTGTGAGTGAAAACAAACCTGTTAATGTGGATCCTTTTAATTGAAATAGAGAAGTTCCCCATCTTTTTAAGCTGAAGCAGCCGCAAGAAAAAATAGTATGACTCACATTTCTTTATATTTTGTTGCTATAGTGGACTGAAAACATTCATGCTCCACTGAAGGAAATACTTTGCCATCCTAGTGTGTACAGTGGAACACTTATTTTAGGGTAATTTTTTCAGTACTTCAAAGGAACATTGGTCATTCTGATCTTATAAAGCTGAGATTGGTATGAAGTAAAAAGATAAGAAAACGTTCATTTTGGTCTAGAGAACATAGTAATCCTGGCAAAAACTTGCTTTAAATATAGATCCAAGAAATTACAGTATACAGAGGGTGCCAAAAAAGTATACACGTTTTTTTGTATGCACATTTTAAGAAAGTAAAAAACGATTAAAATTGTAAAAATATATACAAATAAGTCGTGTGCATACATTTTTTTGGCACCCTCTGTACTTAATACTTATTCCTGTGATAAATTTAGGGGTGCGTCTTCCTAACTTTGAAAGCTATACTTTCAACCCTGAAGGCTGTGATTTTGTAGGGATCGAGGGATATTTTCCTATTACAAAAATCACTTGGTGCTTCTGTAGTACTCAGAAAATAAATTAATCTTTGTCATATAGAAGTTAAGGCAGAAATAGCCTCATAAGCATTTACTAGATTCTCGGAGAGAAGTCACTTGTGCCTTTGCATAGGTGGTTACCATTTAGGTAGGTATGCAAAACAGATGAAACAACATTTTTAAAAGAGTTGAGCAGATACTGAGTGTTTTGTCTTCATAAGTACAAAGGAATTAACCTTCAACCACCAGGTTAAAAAGTGTCTTGACTCCTGTCACTACAACTAGCAACTATTGATAGAACATCAATATGGTGATAGTGGAAATTGAGAGCCTCCCTAGTTGCTATATTCATCTTCCCCAAAAATACTTGGAACAAGATGTAAAATTTGTAGGGATGCCAAATGTCTAAGATGTTTTTAAAAAAAAGTATTCCACACCCCAATTTGAGTAAATACTAGTGAAAGTCAGCCACTAGAGGGAGCTATGCTGCAAAATCAACCAGGAAATTATCCCTACTGTAAAGGCTCTATATAGCAAGTTGGAAACCAACTATCTAAATCTTGTATACCAGTTCCAAAGTTAGTTTTTTGGTTTGGTTGGTTGGTTGGATTTTTTTGTTTTCTTCCTGTAACTTGACCTTAGTCTTGCATCTGCTGGGCAAAAAAGCCTTTCCATTTTCAGCTTCTGGATCCATTTATTTAGGTTTTGAATACAACCTAACTTCATGCATACTGAACTGCTTGCTATAAATCAGCAAGATACGTCTAGATCTTAGAAAATGCTGAAGACATGAATCTGTTTGTCTTCTGCCTACCTGGTTCATCTCCAGGTATGGAATAAGACCAGGTGTGTAAGAATAGGGTATAGGGAGTAGATGTGCTGCAAAAAAAGTTGGCATAACTGGTCATATACTACCCCCAAAAAATAGGCTTTCAGCAATCTTTGCCATTTTTATTCTGTGAAACAGTTTGTGGGGTGATCAATCTTATTTCTTAACATTACTAAGACTTAATTGTTAATGTGTCTTAACCTGCTTGTTTGTCAGATTGGCTGTTTACTATTTTCTAGGCCTTAAGTAGGCACAGAGCATTTTGTGATCAAAAAGTGCACAGTTCTCAACTTGTCTACTTAATGCCATTTGATTTTAAGAAAGCCTGAAAACTAATGGGGATTAGCACTGCAGCATTTGTCATTCATGTCTCCCTACCCCAACTTTACATTGCAAAAATGTAGAAGACACAAATTTCAACTTGCCTCCTGCTTAAATTGTCAATAAGAGCACTATTAAAGTTTTTTAAGGCCAATTTAGTCAAGAAAATGAGTGTGGGTGCATTTGCTTAAACCGTTAATGGTAAAAATTTGCCTGCTCTGAAGAATAAGACACTAAAAAGAGGACAAATAAGGCGGTTTTCCCCGCGAGAAATAGTCACGTTTACACAGATTACCCTGCCTGCTAAACATTTTATGTAGCAAGTGAGACTGCAGTAGGTGGTTGCTGACTAGCAGCTTTGCTGATGCAGATTGAATTTAGAGTACTGAGTGCACTAGATTGATTATGCCTGTCCTTAATCCTAAAAGTATTAACTCGGATGTCTCCTTAGTTCAACTTGGTGGAGAAGCACCCTAAATCCGAAGTTGTACAAAAGCAAGTTCACAATTCCCGTTGTAAAAGAAAAAGGCTATACTTGGAGATGGTTCAAGTGCCAGAATGCATGGCTGGATAGTACCCTGTGTTGCTGGGTATTAGAGGAGCATTTTATGTATAAGTTGGGGATAAGCTTTCAGTTTGCAGCAGTTATTAAGATTTACTACTTAGGAATGGACTGCCACATCAGTCAAAAGATAACCTACAGCCCTAAAAATAGGATTTGAAAGTC